ATCCTTCAGTGGAGAGTGGCAGAGTCAATTATGATAGGGCCCAACCGTGCAGTACGACACAGCCACACAGCATGCACACAATAGGGCAGGCATGCTAACATTAAAGATGGATGATTTGGCTAATGGCTAGGTTTGATTTGAGTCATATGATTTAAAACATACATTTGACTGGATGCAGTGACTCACACCTATAATCCCAACACTTTGGGAGGCCAAGGTAGGAAGATTGCTTGAGACTAGGAGTTCAAGACCAGCCTGGGCAACATAGCAAGACCTTGTCTCTACTAAAATTAAAAAAAAAAAAAAAAAAAAAAAATTAGCTGGGAATGGTGGCATGCACCTATGGTCCCAGTTATTTAGGAGGCTAAGGTGGCAGGATCATTTGAGCCCAGGAATTGGGAGCTCCAATGACCTGTGATCACGCCTCTGCACTCCGGCTTGGGCAACAGAGCAAGACTTTGTCTCAAAAAAAATTAAATTAAAATTATTAAATTTATTTAAAACACACCCAGATTTCTGGTAACTTTTGGTCTCCATTCCTACTGGGTACCAAATCCTAGAGTTGAGGAGCGGCCACCCCATTTGGATGAAGTATGAATTCTTCCACCTCCACAGTCCCCTTTGGATGACAACCACTCCTTGCTGCCTCCTTGATACTGAGGCTGCAGTCGGTACGATTATCATTGCCCTTGCACTGCAGCTTTTCTTTCTTTTTAAAAAACTTTACTTTTTAAATTGACAAAAATTGTACACATTTATTGTGTACAATATGTTGTTTTAAATTTGTATACATTGTGGAATGGCTAAATCGATCTAATTAGAATACACATTACTTTACATACTTCACAAGCGTGAGCCACTGCACTTGGCCTGTAGTTTTTCATATAATGCAAAAATATGGTCAGGCACAGTGGCTTATGCCTGTAATCCTAGCACTTTGGGAGGCCAAGGCTGGAGGATCATTTGAACTCGGGAGTTTGATACCAGCCTGGGCAACGTGGCTAACCCCTCCGTCTCTACCAAAAATACAAAAACTTAGCTGGGCTTAGTGCTGCACACCTATGGTCTCAGCTACTCAGGAGGCTGAGATTGGAGGATCTTTTGAGCCCTGGGTGACAGAGTGAGACCCTGTCCCCCGCCGACCCCGGCAAAAAAAAAAAAAAAAAAGAAAAGAAAAATATTGCACTGTTCCATGTCTCTATCAAAAGCAGAGAAACAAAAGGTGGACTCCAAGGTCCATGTGTCTCAAGGAAAGTAAGAGGGAGCTCATTTCTTCCTGGAAAAGAAGACTGCCTCTGGTTTCACTTGCAAATCCTGGGGCACTTCATTCATTTATTATGTATTACAATACATTATTTACTATGATGCTGATACACTACCCACCTGGTCCCAGGAGCATTTTGGGTTTGCTACAGGTGATTAATACATTAATAACATGACCTCCCCCCTCTGCCACCTTATTTTTCATAAAAAGCAATTGCAACAACAAAATAAAACCTAAGTCCTTGCATGTGTATTTGTAGAAAGAGGGCCTATCACTTTTTCTGTCATAGACTGCTAAATTGTTTTGTATTTCTTGGAACAAGTATGCACATTTTTGTCATTAAAAAGAGATTATAGGCCAGGCACGGTGGTTCATGCCTGTAATACCAGCACTTTGGGGGACCGAGGCAGGCAGATGACCTGAGGTCAGGAGTTCGAGACCAGCCTGGCCAACATGGCAAAACCCCATCTCTACTAAAAATACAAAAATTAGCCAGGCATGGTGGCACGCGCCTGTAATCCCAGCTACTCAGAAGGCTGAGGCGGGAGAGTTACTTGAACCCAGGAGGCAGAGGTTGCAGTGAGCCAAGATCGGGCCACTGCATTCTAGCCCGGGTGACAGAGTGAGACTTTGTCTCAAAAACAAAAAAAGAGATTATAGTGGCTGGGCATGGCGGCTCACGCCTGTCATCCCAGCACTTTGGGAGGCCAAGGCAGGCTGATCACTTGAGGCCAGGAGTTCGAGACCAGCCTGGCCAACACAGTGAAACCCTGTCTCCACCAAAAAATACAAAAAAATTAGCCAGGCATGGTGGTACATGACTGTAGTCCCAGCTACTCGGGAGGCTGAGACAGGAGAATTGCTTGAAACCAGCAGGTGGAGGTTGCAGTGAGCCGAGATAGCACCACTGCACTCCAGGCTGGTCAATATAGTGAGTGAGACTCCATGTCGGAAAAAAAAAAAAAAAAGGAAAGGAAAGAAAGAAAGAAAAAAGAGAGAGATTATAAATGCTCAAGTTAAAACGTTTGGCTAGGAGATCCCAAGACTCACCTCTGCTCTTCTTGGCAACCTGGGTGAACAGGTGAATACAGAGGAGCGTGAGCTTCTAGAGGTGAAAGTCACCTTTTCTCTGGTCCAGGCCTAGGAGGAATCTGCGCCAGGGGAGGGAAGAGAAGTAATAACCACTGAGCGGCAACTGGATGCCAGGCCCTGGGCATGCTCTGAGGGCCATTGCACAGGACCCTTGCACCACTTTGTGGGGGGGTCAACATTCTCTCTCTATCTATATATTTTTGACAGAGTCTTGCTCTATCACCCAGGCTGGAGGGCAGCGGTGTGATCTCAGCTCACTGCAACCTCCACCTCCCAGGTTCAAGCAATTCTCATGCCTCAACTTCCCAAGTAGCTGGGATTACAGGTGTGCACCACCATGACCAGCAAATTTTTGTATTTTTAGTAGAGACAGGGTTTCACCATGTTGCTCAGGCTGGTCTTTAACTCCTGGCCTCAAGCAATCTGCCCGCTTCGGCCTCCCAAAGTGCTAGGATTATAGGCATGAGCCACCATGCCCGGCCCTCTGTGTTTTTCTTAAGTAGCTTTATTGAGCTATAACTTATATGCCATGAAATTTACCCATTTTAAGTGCACAATTTGATTATTTTTAGCAAGTTTACGGAGTTGCAAAACATCCCCACAATCCAATGTTGGGACATTGCCATCACCCCAAAAAGATCTCCTGTGCTTATTCCATGGTCACTCCCCACTCCCACCTCTAGCCTGGGGCAACCACTAATCTGCTACTATCTTTTCTGCCTTTCCTTTTTCATACCTGGCTTCTTTCATTGAACATGTTTTTGAGTTTCATCCATGTTGTAGCCTCTATCCGTACTTTATTCCTTTTTTATCTATTTTTAATTTATTATTTAATTTGATTTTTTTTTTTTTTGAGTCAGAGTCTCACTCTGTTGCCCAGGCTGGAGTGCAGTGGTGCGATCATGGCTCACTGCAGCCTTGACCTCCCACACTCAAACGATCCTCCCACCTCAGCCTCCCAAGTAGCTGGGAATACAGGCACACACCACTATGCCCTGCTAATTTTTATTTTTTGAAGAGATGGGGTCTCACTATGTTGCCCTGGCTGGTCTTGAACTCCTGGGCTCAAGTGATCCGCCCGCCTTGGTGTCCTCATGTGTTTACAGGTGTGAGCCACTGCCCCAGGCCACTTTGGTCCTTTTCAGAGCTGAATAGCATGCTACTCTCTGACCACATTTTGTTTTTCACTTACAAGTCAGTGGACATTTGGATTGTTTCAATTTTTTGACTCCTAAACAATGCTGTGAAGAACATCCATATGTAAGTCTTCGTGGGGGACATGTGTTTTTATTTCTCTTGGGTAGATACCTAAGAGTGCAGTTGCTGGATCGCGCTGTAGTTTTATGTTTAACTCTTTAAGAAACTGCTAACCTGTTTTCCTACATGGCTGTACCATCTCATTCCCACCAGCACTGTATGAGGGCTTCTGTGTCCCCATGTCCTCGCCAACCCCTCACATTTGCAGGTGATGAAGATGCGGCTGACAGAACGGTTTGTTAGGTCAAACAGCACACAGAGGCAAAATTAAGGTTTTTGAACCCAGGTGTACCTGACTTTCTGGTCTGGGCATGGACTTTAGCAAAATGCAACAGTTAGAGGCTCTGAAGAGGCAGATCAGCAGGATCCACCATGCTGGCATCCCGGGATATGGGGCAAGGCTTGGAGAGGGCTGAGGAGTGATTGGACAGGGCTCAGTAGCCCTTGACTCACGCCACTACTTGAGGGCTCGGGGCTCCTGCATGGCCAGTGGCAGAGGTGTTCATCCCAGGAGGTCTTGGCCTCTGCCATACATAAGATCTTCTCTCTGGCACCCTCCCCTGCCCCGCCTGCATTTCCTGCAGGCTGCCATGTATCCCGTTTGGGTCTGGATATGTCCTTGTCATCCCCACTTCTGGTGCTCCACAGGAGGAGGAATGGGCTTTCCTGTCCCAGCCCCCAGATCTTTACCTCTTTCTGCCAACCTCAGAGTCTGCATGCAACCTAAGAGTGTCAAAGAGGAGGAACAAGCTCATCTTGTTCATCTGTCTGCCTCAGGGAAGGACCGGTGACAGGACAATGGGCGAGGTGGGTCTGGCCAGCAGGTGGCAGAGCAGCCCACGTGTCCTGGCCAGCCCTCATCCCTTCCCACCATCGTCATGGAACCACCACCTTTGCCCCAAGGAAAGGAGGTCTCACGGGACCAAAAGGTCCAGACCACCCATTCAAGCTTCGTTTGCAAATTTGGAAAAAAAGAGGAAGAAGGAAAACGTGCATTTATGGAGCACCAGCCATAGGTCAAAGCTTCTTCATATACACCCTTTCTCTTGATTCTCATGTCCACCCTGAGAACTGAGTCCTCATCTTTCCCCTGAAACCGATTCAGTGGTTCAGTGGCTTGCCCAAGTCTTGCATACTAAGTAGTAAACCTCTGTTCCCACCCACCACACACGGAGTAAGCCTCTGACTCTTAAAGGCGGGGTGGTACCCCTGACAATGTCCTAAGTGTGAGCTGTGGCATCAGGTACACCTAAATTCAAATCCTGACCCTGCACTTTCTCGATGTGTGATCTTGGGTACATGACTGAAACTCTCTGAGTTGCAGCTGCCCCATCTGTGCAATGGAGCTCTCCAAACCCATGCTGTGAAGACTAAATGAGACACCTCATTTGTGAGGGAGAGTGAGCAAAGACTGTTGTTATTTTCCGAGACTGGGAGACTGGAGAGCAGGGCTGATGGTTTTCAGGCTACTCCAGACTCTCGAGAGGGTCGTTCTCTTTGGTGCTTTGACCTTCTGTCTAGTTGGGTCTGTCCCCAGCCGGTTCACAGGAGGGCAGGGAAAGCCAGACACCCTGAAGGAGATCTGGAGTTCTGGAGATCTGACAGTTCCACTGTCCAACCTTGGGAGGCAAATTCCAGCTGGGATAAAAGAAGGAACAGAGTGTCTAGGACTTCCGTCTTTCCTCCAGTTATTTCCTCTCATCTTCTTTGCTGCATCCCTAAACTTTGCTCTTCCTTCAAGGCTGAGTCAGACCTCCTCCTCTAGGCGGTCTCCCAGCCTACCCCAGCCTACCCCAGCCTACCCTTGCCTGCCAGCCTCAAGGCCCAGTATCCAAGGCATTTTCAGCACCAGAAGGGCTGCGAGCTCCGCCCAGGGCAGGACGAGGGTCCCCTGGGGAAAACCTCAGGCTGGCGTGATCCAAGCTGTGGTCTCCCCCCACCCCGCAGAGGAGGCACTGTGGACGACTCGGGCCGATGGGCGAGTGCGCCTACGCATAGACCCCAGCTGCCCACAGCTTCCCTACACTGTGCATCGGATGTTCTACGAGGCCCTGGACAAGTACGGGGACTTCAGCGCTCTGGGTTTCAAGTGCCAGGACAAGTGGGAGCACATCTCCTACTCCCAATACTACCTGCTCGCCCGCAGAGCCGCCAAGGGCTTCCTGAAGGTAAGGGGGCCCTTCATGGCAAGGCCTTGCCCCTCCCCAGATGTGCCTGCCAGCTCTGGGCCTCACAGGCCTCCTCTCCAACTGCCCACTGGGCAAGGCTCTTAGGAACAATAACTATAAAAGCCATCACTGTGCGTGGAGCTGATACTCCACGCTGGGCCGCGTACTAAGCTTTTATTTGCTGAGCCCCTACCATGTGCCAAGCACTTGATACTCACTTTTCATTTGTGATCACATTCAGGGCAGGCTGGAAGTCCAGTGTGCTGGGCTGAGGGACCGGACAGACTCCTTGGGAAGGCCTTGGGAGGGGCAGGGAGGGCTGTTCAGTGACCAACCCCTTCTCCTCCAAGGAGATTCTCTGACTGAGGGGACCCTGGGAGGGTGGAGCCTGCAGGGTCCCCTGCAGTCTCGGTGGGGGCTCTGAGAGGGGCATGAGGGTCCCAGTCCCTGCCTGGCTGACCTGGCCTGTCTGCCTTTGGCCTGGAGCTCGGCCTGGAGCGGGCCCACAGTGTGGCCATCCTCGGCTTCAACTCCCCGGAGTGGTTCTTCTCGGCAGTGGGCACAGTATTTGCAGGGTGAGTGGCGGGGGCAGGGACGGGGTCTCCAGTGGGTTGGCGGTGGGTAGAGGGTAGGGGAGGGTCCTTATCTCTTTTTAGTAGCCCCCACCCATTCCCCACCATCATGCCTCCTCCCTGGGGCCTTCTGGTGGACCTGCATCTGGCGCCCTCTCTGCAGGGGCAGAGGTGTTGAGGTGCCTTGGGAGCCCCTCCTGCCAGGCTATGGGAGCTCTCTGGGTCTGGGGGCTACAGATGTGGGGGTGGGGGAAGGGGGTGGCCCCTCTGCACCTCCCCTAAGGTGAATCTTCCTGGGTCTCCTACAGTGGCATCGTCACCGGCATCTACACCACCAGCTCCCCCGAGGCCTGCCAGTACATCGCTTATGACTGCTGCGCCAATGTCATCATGGTTGACACGCAGAAGCAGCTGGAAAAGATCCTGAAGGTTTGGGGAAGGGGCAGTGGGCATGCGGTCAGAGGCTGGGTATCTCCATGCGCCTTCACTTCAACTCACATGGGACCTTCCTGCCCTCCATCCAGAGTGTCCTCATCCTCAACAGCAACCCTCTAACTCACACACAGCAAGCAAGGCAGGGCAACAGCTATTTATCCATTTGACAGGCAAGGAAATGGAGGCTCAAGGGACATGCCCCAGAAGTGGTGATAAAGCCTTGGATAGGACTCCTGTCCAGCCACGGCCTCCCAAGGCTTTCTCTTTGGGACAGGATCTCCCCTAAGGGAGAGCAAGAGCTGTGGGGGCCGGGGTCCTCTGGCAGTGGAAGGGTTATGTGCAGGTGAGTGGCTTAGGGCTCTGACATCTTGAGCACTCGAGTCTAGATGAGAAACGGGGTGATGGGGGTGGCGAGGGCTGCCACAGGGTGAGGGTTGAGCCAAGTCAGAGACAGTGAGGGCAGAGCAGGAGCTCAGAGTGCCTCTAGAGCCAGCAGGGTCTTTTCCGGAGTGTTGATGATGCCTCCTGATCTAAGGCCCACCCCTAACTGGCTCTGTCCCCTCATGCACCATACTGGGGTGTGGTAGTCTGGGGACACCTCTGTGTCTCAGCTGAACCCAACAGGCTTTGAGGCGTTCAAGGGCTCCCTGCATCCCAAAGGAGGCCCCAGAGACTGACTTGTTGGCTTGCCTCTGATTCTGGAGATGTCACCTGGGCCACAGCTTCCATCTGTACCTGAGGGTGGGACAAATGGTCTCCAACCTTCCATGACTATGGGATCTGGATCCCCAGAGGTGCCAGAGCAGATGCCTACCCTCATTTCTAGTGGAGAAGTTTCCTGAAGCCTGAAAGAGAAAAGCAAGCGGGGCCAGTGGTTCCCAGCAGGGCAGTGCCAGAATCCTTGGGGGAGACCCAGGCTGCAGCCCAGACCCTTGAGGCAGAACCTCTTGGAGGGCTTTGTGACTTTGAAAATAGCCAAATCAGAGTGACTTTGAAAATAGCCTCAGCTGAGGCTGTGGGCAGCCCAGGCCAAGAATTTCTGGCTCACAGCAAAATAAAATGAAGCCCCAGGAAGACCTCAGAGCTGCCCTGGCTGGATGAACAAAGGCCTCTGAGCAGGGTTTAAACCCAGAGGTGGTGTAGAGAAGCAGGTGAACACACACGCTTGGGCTGGACCTGCCAGAGCTCAAATGCAGTGTGGCCTAGGGGAGGATGGTGACAGGCGCAGAGGTCAACTGGAAGGGCTGGTGTAAAGGTAACTCTTAGACCAGCGTCTGGCTCTTGGTGGGCGCCTGCGTTCATTTGCCAAGGCTACTGGAACGGGGTGGCTTCTGGGGTTGGCTGGCGATCTTTGTGCTCCTTGGCTTGTAGACACATCACCCAGGCCTCTACCTTCATCCTCACCTGGCATTCTCCCAGTGTCTTCACGTTGTCGTCCTTCTGTATCTGTCTCTATGTCCCAATTTCCCATTTCTATCAGGACACCAGGAATATTGGATTCGAGCCCACCTTAATGACTTTGTTTTAATTTCATTATCTCCATAAAGACCCTGTCTCCAAATAAGGTCACACTTAGAGGTACCTGGGGTGAGGACTTTGGGATATCTCTTTGTGGGGATGGGGACACAATTCCAGCCATGGCAGCACCATATAAGTGCTTTTAAATCATCATGTTGTCATAGTCTTCACTTGTAAGACAAGAAAGAAAGGGGTTCTGTCTAAGACTTAGGGAGTTTTCAGAACCTGGAGGGACTGGAAAAGGCATTCCATCCAACACCTACCCTCTGTCCATTTCACACATGAAGAAACAGACCCAGAGTGGAAAAGGAGAGTCCCAGGTGGTGGCACCACAGCCCACAGTAGCAGTGGATAGAAACTGTTCATGGCACACTGGCTCCACTGAGTGCCCTGCAGACATTGCAGCAGCCCGAGATATGGGTCTTCTCACTCATTTTACAGGCAAGGAAACCAAGGGCCAGAGCAGTGAAGTATGGCTTCCATCCCTGGCAGGTGGCAGTTGAGTGACTCTGTGCTGCAGCTTCTTAAGAGGACGCCATAAGAACCATTTGTGAGAGAAATCAAGGGGACCACATCTCTCCACAAAGTATCATTTATGGAGAGCTTATAAAGTGCCAGAGCCTGCTCTGAATACCCTAAATCAGCAACTGAGGCAGAGCGAGCCCCTCCTCTTCCAGCGAGGACAAGAAGGAAATATATAGCTGTGGCCAGCTCCTTACAGCCCTTGGGGGCCAGAGGCACTGTGAGACAAGGCTGAGGGAGGCCCCCACTCCCATTAATGTCTGGGCTGGGAATGTCAGCAACCTTAGGGTTTCAACCCTCAGCCTGTGGCAGCAGGGCTGGCTTCAAAGGGGTGTGGCCCATGCTTCACCTCACACAAAGTCCGAGTTTACGAAATTCTCTTTCTTTTCCTTCCTTCTCTTCTCTTCTCCTCTCCTCTCCTTTCCTCTCTTTTCTCTTCTTTTCTTTTCTTTTTCTTTTTTCTTTTCTTTTCTTTCTGGCAGAGTCTCACTGTGCCACCCAGGCTAAAGTGAAGTAGCTCAATCATAGCTCACTGCAGCCTTGGTATCCTGGGCTCAAGTGATCCTCTCACCTCAGCCTCCCAAGTAGCTGGAACTACAGGCATGGGGCTCTACACCTGGCTAATTTTGTGTAGAGATGAGGTCTTGCTCTGTTGCCCAGGCTGGTCTCAAACACCTGGCTTCAAGCAATCCTGTCTTAGCCTCCCAAAGTGCTGGGCTTACAGGCATGAACCACCTCACCCAGCCTTGAAACTCTTAATAAGGTTTGAACAAGGGGTCCCACATTTGCATTTTGCACCTGGCCAGTTCTGCCTTCGGGTTCCAGACCCCTCCAAGGGTTTGCTCCAATCCATGAGAGTGTACCCAGTTTTATCCCATTTTAGGATTATTTTGAAACCCCTTTTTTAAATGGGCACTTGGGCCTACTTGTGTTTTACTCAGAAGGATGTATCAAATGGGCCCACTTCATGAATGAGGGGCTTGTCTTGCCTCCGTGGGGGATCCTTTTCTGTCTCAGCTCCTTTTGACCTTGTGTTTTCAGGATCTCGCATTCTGAACATCTCCATCCTGTCTGACTTGAATCAATACTTGAGATTGGTTTGGATTATGCCACCTAAGATGAATTGCTCAGAGAGAATGAGAAGCGCCTTCTCCTTTGGCTCCTGGCAGGGATGCTCTGTCGCTGGCCCTTCCAGGCACCTTGGCCTTGCTGTGACTCAATTTCTTCAGGTTTGGCGGCTTCATAGACCCCCGTGACGTGGAGGCAAAGGGGTCATTGGACTAGTTCCTGAGCTCCACTCCTCACAGCCCCACCGAAGCACTGATCCAGCCTCTCCCAGGACAGGCTTAAGATTTGCTTGAGGGCCGGGCTGGCAGATGCCTGAGCTACCTGTATCACTTGTACCCAGTAGTCATCCCTTCTCAGCCTCACCTGAGGGAGTCACACTGGCCCCACCATTCCCTCTCTTATCAGAATCCGGGGTAGGAAGGGTGGAAGACATTAAAAAGCCTCCCCACCCAGCAGGTTTTGCCAGGCCCCTCAGGGAGGCCAACCCCCTGTGTAAGTTGTTGGTCTAATCCAAATACCATCTCCCATTCCCATTTTGCAGTTGAAGAAACTGAGGTCCAGAGTTAGGAAATGACCACCCCAGGTCAATATTTAAAAGAAAGCTTGGTTTTTTAAATGTTTGAGACAAAGTCTCACTTTGTCACCAAGGCTGGAGTGCAGTAGCATGATCATGGCTCACTGCAGCCTCGACCTCCTGGACTCAAGCAATCCTCCCACCTCAGCCTCCTGAGTAGCTGGGACAACAGGTGCCTGCAGCACCATTCCTGGCTAACTTTTGTACTTTTTCTTTAGAGAGACAGGGTCTCACTATGTTGCCCAGGCTGGTCTCAAAATTCTGGCTCAAGCAATCCAAAATCCTGGAATTACAGGCATGAGACACCATGCTTGGTAATATGGTTAGGCTTTGTGTCTCCACCCAAATCTCATCTTGAATTGTAATCTCCAGATATTTAGGGAGCGACCTGGTGGGAAGTGATTGGATTATGGGGGTGGTTCCCCCGTACTGTTCTCATGATAGTGAGTGAATTCTCATGAGATCTGATGACTTTATAAATGGTAGTTTTTCCTGCACTAATACACACTCGCTCTCTTTCTCCTACCGCCATGTAAGACATGCTCACTTCCCCTTCTGCCATGATTGTAAGTTTTCTGAGGCTTCCCCAGCCATGCAGAACTGTGAGCCAATTAAACCTCTTTTCTTTGTAAATTACCCAGTCTTGGCCAGTATCTTTATAGCAGTGTGAGAACATACTAATACACCTGGCATAAAATAAAATTTGTATTATGAAAGTTTTCAAACAAAAAAGTAGAGAGAATCCCCATATATCTATCATCAGATCCAATCATTGTCAATGTGTTTTCATCACAGTTGCTTCTTCAATTCACCTTTTTGCTGAAGTGTGTGAAGGAAAATCTCTGATATCATGTCACTTCATTATCTGAATACTTTAATATGCATCTCTAAAAAATATGAAATAAGCTCTTTCTCAAATAAGCTCTGTAACTTTATCACACCTAGCACAAGTAAAATAATTCTATCATATCATCTAATACACATATGATGTCTGTTTTCCAATTTTTTGTTGTATTAGACACATATGACATAAAAACATACCATCTTAACCATTTTTAAGTGTCCAGTGGTAAGTGCATTCAGATTGTTGTACAATCTCCACCACCATTCATCTCCAGAACTCTTGTCATCTTACAAAACTGAAATGTTGTACTCATTAAACAACTCCCTATTCCCTCCTGGCAACCATCATTCTACTTTCTGTCTCTATACCCACGATGTCATCGCATCATTGGTTTATTTGAATCAGGATCTAAACCAGGCCCACGTGTTGCATGTGGTGGTGTCTCTTAAGTGTCTTCTAATTTAGAAC